ACACCAAACTCACTCATCTATGTCTTTATGGACCTTGCTTCATGCACTGGTTATGTCATGTTATGTTGGAACAGGAAAGGGCCGTCTCCAAACTGTTCCCACAAAGTTGGGAGCGTGAAATTGTCCAAAATGTTTTGGTATGCTGAAGGATTAGGAGTTCCTTTCACTTGAACTAAGGGGTCAAGCCTGAAAAACAAACCCACATCTTAATCCACCCTCCACCAGATTTATACTTATATTTAATGCAGTCAGACAAGGAAACCGCTAAACCCAGACTCATCTGTTAGATTGCAGGAGTAGAGAAGCATGATTGGTCACTCCAGAGAACACGTCTCTACTGCTCTAGAGTCCAGTGTTAGCGTACGTTACAGCACTGCGTTGACTCTTAACATTGTGCTTGGTGATATAAGGCTGCGATGGAGCTGCTTGGCCATGGACACCCAGTCCATGAAGCTCTCTACGCACTGTTCTTGAGCTAATAAACAAAGTGGAAGCTAATTCCCAATCGCTTCCAATTAACAGCTGAAGGGTATGAGAGCAATTGTGACAAAACAACCAAAAATTAAGAATTTTTAATGTCAAAGTTAGAAATTACAACAGGCAGCAACATGTAACTAAATAAAACATCAAGTATACTGAACGTCAATCTCTCGAGACAGCCTGAATCCCTTCTACTAACACGTCCTTGAACGAGACACTGAATCCCAGTCACTTCCTGAGGCTCAGTCTGAGCCTCTGACCTGTATTCTGACCTTCCTGCAGAGGGGCAAAGTGAAAGAGCAGCAGGACACATATATAAATAAACTATGTGAAAGATACTGCTGATATTCTGAGTGATCATAGACTGGGAGAGTGGGATGGTAGGTCGGATGAGGAGACAAACTGGCACCGCAGCTGACAACAAAAAGAGGGTAACTAATGGTGCTGCTGTTTCTTTGTAATCTGCTACCATGTCAATCGTTGAAGACAGAAATAAATTTACATTATAAAGAATCTTATTGTTTGCCATTCGAGTGTCTGCACTGTGCGTGATTCTTAATTCTCCACAGAATACAGAATAAAAACGTTCTTTGTACATTTCCATCATAGTGACCAGCCATGCAAACAGATGTGAGATTTGGATTTTTATCACTCGCCCAGCCCTGCCTGTCGGACAGATGCAGCAATAGACTTTCTCATGAAAGTCGTAAGGCGTACATTCTGTAGAAAGTAAATTGATTTGCCTGGGGAAAGGTGAAGGAAGAAAATGGGCACGCCACTCAACAATAGGCTCAGCATTTCTTGTGTCTCAGATTTCCATGAACTGTTCCAAGCCTGGCAGATGACCAAGTCAGACACGTCAGTCTCCCAGCTCACCTGAGCTCACCAAGTGTTGCCATGCCAACAGAAGACATGGCCACATGGGTAATGTACAGACTGCACCAACCACTGGTCATACTTCCACATTAAGTTTTTATAGTTCCAAAAATTCTATGGTTAAAATTCACACAGAAAAACACAACACAGAAAAAATGTTTTGGGGGAATGTGTGGAACTCTAACATTAAAGAGTTACGTGACCAGTATTCTGCCTATGGTGTTTCCTTAGCAGGTACTAAATTTATATCCTGAGATAAAGAGCTCATAACATATCAAACCATGATTTATTTGATACCCCTGACTTTTTTCATGGAAATTAAAAAGGTAAGTGCACTTCATTAACTGATCATTAGCAAATATAAGGAAAGACATCAGCAATAATCTGAGAAACAATTGTTGTTGCCCACCAATTTGGGAATCCACAAGTGGGGGACATTCAAGACAACTGCCAATCTTTGTAAGAGTTCCAGACTTACCAGCAAAATCACCCCAAGGTCAGAAAAAAAACCCAGCAGCTACATCTCAGACTCTATGGGCTCAATTTACCTTGCTCAATGTTGAGATTCATGGCAGTAAAAGATTGAACAAGCAGTCTTTTTCTAATTGTACTAGAGAAAGACTTGCCTCTCAAAAAAGAAGCTGCATCTGAACAAAGCACTTCTGGAACAATGTCTTTGGGACATCTCATCTACATCTCATACCAACTGTAAAGCACGGTGGTGAACGGGTGATGATTTGCGCTTGTTTTGCGGCAACAGGGTCTGGCCACCTTGAGATCACTGAGTTGACCATTAACTCCCGTGTTTAGTACTCTAGAGTCAATGTGAGGTCATCTGACTGACAGTTAAAGCTTTGCCTAAAGTAGGTCAAGGAACAGCAGAAAGGACAGAAATGAAGCAGCAAATATACAACAGAATGGCGGAAAAGAAAATAATCAAGGTCTTGCAATGGTCCAGTAAAGGGAGACTCAGAATATAATTACTTCAAGTTATTGCTGCTAAAGGTGGTTACACAAGTTACTGAATTGTGGGGTGCACTTGTATTATGACTGCACATCTAGTTCAAAGTAGTTGGACCATTTTGTTAAAATCTCCTGTCTGAAAATTTGGTCACATAATATGAACAGTTTTCATTGTAACAGAACAAAAACAGTAACAGAGCAGAATTAAATACAATTTTAAACACAGGAATGAGTTCTTTAAGGTTAGCTTGATTCTTAGGATAAGACTATTTTTTGTAGTTATGCTCTAGTCTTTGCACATCACTGGCAGGCACTAGAGTAGCCAGTAATGCATTCAATTAAAAAGAAGTTTATTGAGCCTGTTTGAAGGAAAACATCAGATCAAAGACTTTTTTTAACGAGCACCCCATGACACACGTGTCTTCTTTACACCAAAACTGAAATTTAGTATCTTTGGCTGCAGTAGCTAAATTTTTAAAATATAAAATAATCAGAGTATTTGATAGATGGATTAGAAAGCACAGCTGCACCATGAGAACGTTTCTGTTGTAGAGAATCATTTTTGCATCCAGATGGTTAGAAGAGTGTTTGATAATTGAGGAAAAACCTTGAGGACAACAGTGAGTGCTGTTTTTCTGTGATTCATATTGAAAGGTTATACATAGGAAGTGTAAAGAAAAACCAGAGACACCTAATTATGCCATGTTACTGTACCATAGATGTAGATTTTCATATGCTCCAGGGAGCTACAGTATCCCCATCAGCATAATGAGAGTGTTTGACTTATCTTGAGCCAAGAGGTAAAGGTCGACTCAGGCACATTGCTCCATGAAAAATGCAACTTGAAATGGTTACTGGTCCTAGCTCAGTAAATGAGGCAATTTGTGCTGCACGGTCCTATTATTTCCAGTTCCACAAAGAACAACCTTTGATGTGACCTAGAACAAATTTAAATGTTACCAAATATCAAACTTTGAAAGCGAGCTTGTTTAACTTTTAAGGGGGCTAGCACAAGGTCACCAGCAAATAAAAAACAAAAAGAGAGAGAGAGACACAGTGGAGGAGGAGTGACATTCTGTGGCATTAAGACAGTTTAAGTGGAAGTCTTGGTGCCTTCCATCTGTTTGACAATCTCTGACCCTCAATAATTTCATGCCATTCCACTTTCTTCCCTGATAATGATGATAGATAAAAGCTTGCAATAAAAAGGGAGAAGTCGCAAATAACTTGCAAATAAGACCTGTTTTGACCCACATAAGGTGCTACTTTACCATGAACGAGCAGAACAGAAGAAGCATGTTCCTACATTTGCACAGGATATTATTGCAAAAGACTTTTCTTAATACTTCCCCAGGTTTAGAGCTCTTCTAATTAAGTATTGATTTTAAAAGCTGATTTGAAATTGAATGGAAATAGCCATGCGAATTGTTTTCTTTACTTTGTAGGTAATCTGTTTAAGTCAAAAAACTATTGAATACAAACAATGCATTTCCCAAAGTAAGCTCATTACTTTCCAAGTGCTTATAGTCATTTCTGTGCCTTTTCAGTCACATCGACAGAATTAAGTAATTACCGTGCACTGACGTGCCACTGACATGCTAATTAAGGGATTTGATTCTATTCCCATAGACACAGCAGCCAGTTATAGAAGAGGGGATCTTAATATGAAGACATTTTGACAAGTAGACACTTTGGCTGTTATGTTTTAGATGTGGGAAACAATGGGGATCATTAATGAAGACCTTGTCCCTTTATTTAGCCACACAGAGATTTTTAGGGCTTCACATCACATTCATTTTATTTCTTAAAGAAGATGTGCCACGTTGTTCTACACCAACATACCATGTGCTCTAGCCTATCTTATTGAGGGATAACAATTGCAGAAAAGCTTGCTGAGCGTGGCTGACAGACCACTAGATGGACAGGGAGAGGAGAATTTAATTATCCCGACTGTTTAAGCCTCCTCCTCCTCTTGATCTCTCACAGAAATGTCTCGCATCCTGCCTCCGTGTGCAGGCTAGAAATGATGAGAAATAAAGCAAAACCCACGTAGGGTTTGTGATTACCTTTGGATTGTGTGTCTGCAAGTGTGAAATTGCTGTCATGCTTGGATGGAGCACCTGCTCAGATTCAGGTTTCTTAAATGTTTGAAATTACATCAATAAAAGTCAGAAGAAGCTGATGACATTGTGGGGAAATGTTTTTGTTCAACTATGTAAAAAGAACTGTAGCCGTTTTCTCCAGGCCCCATTTAGACTTTGATTCGTTTTCAGTTATATTACATTTGCTACTTTAATAAGTTTGTATCCACTGTGATCCACAGACAGCTGTCCCTGAACCACTGGCATTCAGTCGCTCGACCAATCATCCAGAAGGAGTTTATGTAAATACCACTTTGATCCCACTCAATGACGTCAACTGCGCAGACCCCTAGTCAGAATAAATGAGCCACAGACTTTGCAAAGAAAAGGACAATTTAACATCTGCTTCGGTCTGCCATCCTATCAGGGGTTTGTGCCAAAGGCAGTGTTTGTTGTCAGTAAAGCTCCCATGCTGTGGGAGCAGTGAAATTTAAAAGTTAGCACACCAACTGTCACCTGTTGTGGGGAAACACATCACCCACTCGCACACCTGTGTTTCTATTTAAAGGCCCATGGGAAGAATCATGGCACGCAGTAATGTAGCTTTGGAAACTCTGACAGTTTATTCCAGTAGAAAGACAAATGAGTCACAACAGGAGCAATAAGGATGACAAAGACGAGATATGTAAAGTACAATCTGAAGATTTTAAAAAACAAATATTCAAAATAGAAACACTATCCAAAATATTTGTGTATTGATCATCATTGATAACTTGCCTACCACTTAAAAACATTCTCATTTGTTGATACATCATCTCAAAACAAAAACCATTAAAAAAGTCTGGTCTTTCTATTAAAAAAAAATACTACCAGTGATTGACTGTTACATGTAAGGTATATTGAATAGGATTTCTATTTATTCCAGTTCTTTCAAATGATGTAAAAATCACATTTACAGATCTTTGCAGAAGTCAGGGAATGTATGCAGTGTACGACAGATCTATCATCCATGAGAAAGTTACACAACAGTGCATTTTACTAAAAAAGGCACCACAGATTGATGAAGTTTGTAAATCAATCAGCAGAACTGATATGGTGCTTCTGTGCAGTTTAAGACTCGAACAAATCACAGATAGACAAGTGTGTTTTAGACACAGAAAAGGCTGGGTAAAGAGGATTAGTAAACCTCTGCTTGTAGGAATGCATTAAAGCTAGACTGCCCCCTGGTGTCACATTAAAGAATGATAAAATACCATCTTCAAAGTCAAGGAACACTCCTACCCTTTGCAGTCCATCTGAATCCACAGGAACTGATACTTTATTATGGAGGGCCTCTACCTTCCTTTTGTCACAGGCCAGGCACCAGGAGTAACTGTTGAACCCCAGACGAGAGTTGTCCTTTTGGCCTTTCCTCTCCATCTGAGCCTCACACAGCCCCACCTTCCATCGGCCATCATCCACGGACACGCTCACCTCCCAGTACCAATGCCCCCCCTCCAGTGCTAATGAGGAAAGGACCTGTGGGAAGGAACTGAAGCGAGCCTCGTGCTCCGTGTAAGCCTGCTGAGCATCGCTGTAGGTCACCGTTCTGCTGTTATCAGACAGCTGCAGCTTAGGATGGGCCGTATCTGAATCCAAGAGGGGTATGGTGCCATCTGTGTACACGATTAAAGAGGAAGAATTTAGATGAGAAAATTAAGACTAACTGAATATCCTAACACGTGTATTTAGTGCTGTGGCGTAATTAGCTGTGTGAGCTGTATAAACAGTAGTATAAACAAGACATGACTTACAGAGGAGCCTGTTAAGATCTCTATCTTTGCTTTGTGTATTGATGACAACTGTGTCCAGTCGCTTCTCTGTCCACTGCTGCAGACACCTCAGCCGGGGACGATTCACTTCCTCCGGGGCCTCAAACTGCTCCACGTAGCTCCCCATCTCACCACTCCTGATGAAGGAGAACTGAGTCAGTAATGAGCCCTAAGACTATCGTGCAGCAAATTGCACATATAAATCCAATCTCCATTTCTTAGATGTGTGTACTTAGTGTGTGGGATTTGTACCCACAGCACAAAAGTGTCACATCACTTTCCAAATCAGCATCCCTGCTGATTGCATTGCAAAAGAACTTTTAAAGTCAGCTTTTACCAACTAGGGTGAGCTAACTAGTACTTTCATTAAAATAAAGTAAACGACTATGCAGCATGTTTACAAAACTGATTTTCTGGGAGCACATTCAGCTAGTGAAATGTTCAACAAGAGGACAATTTTACCGCTGCAAAGCAGAAGTTAAAAGCAAATTACTTACAGCTGGGCAATCTTGCTGTATTCCTGCAATGTCAGCAAAAATAAAAAGGCATTTTACTACCTAAACATTAATAATTCAGCAGTAAATATATGCATATATTTTTTAAGCCAACAAAAATTATCTGACCATGATGAAGGCCTGGTCCTTAAAAGAGTTGTCGCCTCTGGTGTCAGCCAGACTCTCCAGCGTGTGAAGGCCTTGTTGGATGGATTGAAGGGAGCTATGGAGGTGGCAGAGTTTCTCCTCTAGTCCCCCCAAAACTCGGTTCTCTTCCTTCTTCACACACTGAAGAGCCAGTTGCTCCTCCTGCTCCAAGGCCTCTTTGATGGTACTGTACTGCTGCTTCACTCCTGCTTGTGTGTCACTCAAAACCTCCTAGACAGACACAGTATAAATATATGTAGTAGTATTGCGGTAGTATTGCATTTCTTTGCTGTTAGTTATTACTCATTTCCGATTACTGTAATTGTCGGGGTATAAGCCGCTACTTTTTGCACAAGGCTTGAACCCTGCGGCTTTTAGTCAGGTGCAGCTTTTCTATGGATTGTCCATGATTTTTGTGATATCGTAAGAGGATTTGTTTTGTTTGTTCCGCTGTTGTACGGCACTACGTTGCCTGGCGGAAGGATCGGGGTTCAAGAGTGGTATGTTGGTCACATGTCCGTCCGCCAGGCAACGTAGTGCCGTACGAAGTAGCGCGAAAAACAAACTTCAAAGTAGCGCTACGCGTTCAGCATGAGGCGTGGATGATGAGCGGCGATAAAGTTGCGAAAAGCAAGTTAGGCCCAACTCCACCAGTGGATTCTGACAGCGTGGAAAAGTGTGAAAACATCCACGATCACCAACGGATTTCGAAGGGCTGGACTGCTGCATGATGGAGAGGAGGAGGTCACCGCCACGGCCCTTCAGAGGGTGTTCGACTCTGACACTGACAACGAGGATTTGTTTGGTTTTGAAAGTGACAACGAAAGAGAGAAGCGGAGAGTGGATGACGAAGCCATCCTGAGCCTGTTCGTATCCGACACTGGAGAAGAGGACTTTGGTGGTTTTAGTGCGCAGAAAGATGGTGGTGAATGGCTGACTTTTCTTCTTGTTAAAGCTGTGTCACTGCACCTGAGCCTAAAAGGTAGTCCGAATCTATTTTTCTGGTGTGCTGTAGGTTATTGTTATGTACTACATTTGTTACTCATTTATGAAGCACAGTACATGTTTTGTACTTGTAATTACCGGTACTTGTACATATACCTAAAAAGTTATGCAAATATGTACCCATAACTTGTTTTTCAAAATATTAATAAAAGTGATGTGTCTCCAAACAGCCATCTCTTTCCTGACAATTCCCTTTGTGCATATTCTCTTACACTATGATCAACATTGAGTCAACATTGAAACACCTGCGGCTTTTAGTCAGGTGCGGCTAATGTATGTACAAAACAGGATTTCCCCCTGATTTTAGCTTGTGCGGCTAATATTCGGGTGCGCTTTGTAGTCCGGGAAATACGGTACTAGTATACCGTACAACACTTCAGAAATGCAAAGATTTCAACGTAAGATGCTTTTCCAGTCTATTTAAATTTCAAACATGGCATTTTTATGTTTTCCTTTTTTGTATTAACTGGTTTCCTCAGCTCAAAATAAAATCCAGATTGAGCAACAGAAATGACTCAAGGCTGCCTCCTAAGAGTCGGAAGGAAATGGCAACACTCGGTAAGTCGTAAACAGAATGGTCTCTGCAGAAGAGTTTGCACGGTCAAAATAACAGACAGGGAGACAGACATCTGCATGGCCCCTCACAGTCATGGTAACATTTATCCCACTTGGACTTTAGCATACTTGCAGATGGGGAAAAAAATTACTTTAGTATGGCCACTCACTTCAGTGTTAGATCCTATTTAAGAGTTGCTGCAACTTAATAAAGCTTTGTGCTGCAATGTAGCACCCTGGGACTAGTGCCCTAAAAGTACAAAAAAACAGCTCGTCAATTAATCACTTGAATGAATGACTATTACTCAAGGAGAAGTATTTAGTTGGGGAGAGCAATTGACCATGAACCCTAACCTAAAAACCTTAAGCTTAATTTCTTTACATTTTCAAACAAAGCCACCTAATATTTGTATTACTTGTATAAAGTCTTCCTATTCTGACATGAAACAAAGAACTGGAGAAGTTTATTAACTAATTTTAGCCAATTATATGCACTTCTAAAAAAACCCCTTAAATTTCAATGCAATGGGTGTGAAAGAAAATCTCTTGTAATTCTTAGCAGCTAAGCAGAACGAACGTATGTATATTTAACAACAGACTTAGCCAACTCACTTTGAAAGTCTCTTTCTTCTGAGCGAGCTCAGTCACTCGGTCCTTCACTTGCTGCTCAGCCTCTTGCAGTTGTTTGATCTCTTCTTTCAGGTTTCCCTGAGGAAAAATGTCCACAAAGATTTAAAAACAAGTCACGAGTCTATCGCTTTGATTATATCTATATTTAGCCACAAGTGCTGTATGCTCACAGCTGGACAGTTACATATTTTTTGTTCTTCAGGCTATGTTCTTCGCCACTTTGAATTTGAAGCAAAGTAGTTTGAGCAGATTCTCCAAAATATAAAGTCCCAAGATGTATTTTGAGAAAACCCTAAAATGATGAGGGTTATTTTTAATAAGCTGGTAGCTTAGATCAACTGAAAAACATTATTATTTTGTACTAAATTGGATACAAATGGCTGTTGCTTGCAAAACCATTAAGGTACCCCTCTAAATCTCTGATTGTCATGTTTTCAACTTTGTGAACCATATACATTTTCCATGTGAATAAACAGACCTGTGTTTTCTCTGCTAGGGGCATCAGTGTAAATTGGAAGATAACAGACTTCCTACAATACATCTAGAAGTTACATAACGAATGATTAGTTAAAAATGGCTGTCAAAATAGCAAGTAAACTCATAGGAACGATCATTCTATATTCAGATAATGCACTATCATAAATGGTCAAACAAAAGACTGAAGATGCATGACCACACAGAAAGACAAGAGAGACAACTAGATAATTTTGAATAAAATTAAGAAACCAAATATCAGGAAACAGAAACAAAGATTACTTTAGAGACCGGCTCACCATTGCCAAATATAACCCTGCTTACAGATCATCATGGGCACAAAAAGTAATTACGGTGGTAATGATTTTGTTTGTTGTCTATCTGCCTTGTGTTTGTGTGCGTGTTATTCATGCAGTGTTTGTTTTCACGTTATGCTTGTCGGAACAAGCAGATGAGTTGAAATATTTTGGGATGTTTGCTTCTTTTTCGTTTTTACCCCATGTGTATCTGTGTAATTATTCCTTATCCGATTATCTTCAGGTACTATGCACTGAAATCAGATCTCGCACGCATTAAGTCAGCAGCACTCACCCTGAGCTCTCTCTCTGCCTCCCTGATGCTGACGCATTCGTGGTCACGATGGGAACCTATGACGGTACACACAGTGCACACACACACTGCACACTGCCGACAGTAGATACGGTTTATCTCATGGTGATCCTGACACCTCCAGAGGGAAATGTCTTCCACTGGAGAAACCAGGGTGTGATTTTGGAAAACTGGGATGTCCAGGTGGGGGCGCAGGTGCTCTGAACACATGGAGGCCCCGCACACCAGACAAGTCTTCACTGCAGACTGACACCGAGTTTTAGGACAATAATGACAGGGCACAGGGCTGGCGCTTTTGTTTTCTGCCCTGGAGACGATGCCAACATGACTTGAGGATCCTGAAGCGGGTAAATAAATTTTGCTTGGAATCGGAGATGATTTGCCAGCATGGTGCACAGGAGGCTTATCTTTTCCTGGAGTTGAGGTTGCAGGAAAACTGTGAGAGGTGGGAGTTGACAAAGGCTTCTTTGGTGTCACACATACCCCTGTTACTTGCGGGTCTTTCTTGGGGGTTGCAGGAGGAGGTGCATCACATATGTCGACTTCATTGTCAGAGTCATCCAGTATGATGGCCTTTTCTGATTTATGCTGGACTGAGATGGCTTGTGGCCCATCGCTTGCAGATGCTCCATTGCTGTCAGAGTTCTCCTTGGAGGTTGAGCCTTCACCCTCTTTAGATTGGGAAGATTCTGGTTCTACTACTTTCTTAGATGTTTTCACGGCAGTTGACTCCCCAGTGTTATTTGACAAGGAAGTGGTGGGAATCTCTGTGTCACTGGGCCATGCACGGGGGCTCTCGACAGTTGTTCTCTTTGCTTCAGGCTGTTCAGGTACAGGTGCGCTGGCCTTCCTCTTTCCAAGGAGTCGGCTGGTGAGCGATGGCCTCCTTAAACTCGAGTCAGATGTACTTTCTTCATTGTTACTGGTGGATGAACCTTAAAAAATGCAATAAAATATAAGCAAAACTGTTTTTAGAGAAGGCTGAGTTTGCACTTTCATAGCAATGTTTCATATAAACACCTGCATGCTGCTTTCTGCAAGCACACCTGCCCTCAACTCCACTTTAAGCAACTGAGGAGAGTGTACTAACTACTTAGGAGTTCTGTGATGATGTTGCCTTGTAAGGAAGGAAGGTAAGCAACACAGATGTAACTGTTCAGTGCATTAAAGGTGCTGCTTACACTCATGATCACACGTCAGAAACAGACTTTTAACCCTACTGTCTATTTGCTTTAAAAGAGTTCAAACTTTGATCTCAGAGTTTTAATTGGACTTTGATCTGTGACACTGTAAACAAATGCCGAACACTGCTCCCATTAAATTACACAAGAGCTAATGTTTTGTTTAAGATATTCTGTTTTAAACCTTGTGACAGCAAGAAACAAAGGAAATTTGCTCAAGAACTGTAATACAATCAAATTCTGAGGTACCTGTATTTCACTTGAGTGTTAAATGTTATACTACTTCATAATTAGACTTTATTTAAGAATGTATTATGGGTTTTTGCTCCCCCAACTTTTATATGAAAGGCATTTTACTGGTGATTACTAGGTGAATAAGTTATTTAACTATTTATAGCTTTCTCTCTCTGTGTTAGTCCTGGCAACCAGGATGTACCTCGTCTTTCACTCGTTGTCAGAAGGGATAAGCTCTAGCACTCCTGTAGGCCTACGTTGGATAAGTAGTTAAGAAAATGGATGGACATGGACAATGCTGAAAATTGTTGCTTAGTACTCTAATCTAAATCTAACAGTCTCACAAAAAACAGTTAAAGATGAATATTTCTAACTACGGCAGATTAGAAGATTAGAGCCCAAATGGTATAGCAGTTGGCAATTATGTATAATCTATCACAAATAGAGTGGTAGTCCCCTGTCTGTTGCGCTTTTTAACAACATAATATAACACCAAAGAAATGCTAGAAATAGTATTATTGATTTTCTTTCCTGCAGGCTGCATCCATTGTTAAGCACATGTATTTATTTACCTTTATTTACCAGCACATGTATTTATTTACCTTTATTTACCAGCACATGTATTTATTTACCTTTATTTACCAGCACATGTATTTATTTACCAGCACATCCCATTGAGATTAGATTTGTTTTACAAATGAGACCTGGCCAAACAACATGACACAAAACGCAACAACTTAGCACTGTTTGCAGTAGGGATGTGCATGACTACTCGACTACATGACCAACAGACAAGTGGTGCCTTCACCTGAAGATGCCACTGGTACAATTGGGCTCTAAAAAAAAAAAGACACCAAAAATATAGTCTTTTAACCTAAACTGCGAGTTCTTCATTTCACATAATGATGCGTCATTGTTATTCATCAATAAATGAATACAATCGAAAAATATGTTACTTTATCTGTCACTGGTCATACATGCACATAACAAAGTTCTGGTTTGCTAAAACCATTTTTCCGCAAATTAAAGATTAGACCATCATGTGCTACTAGTTTTATAGTACTTTTACGTGCCCTAAGGTTGATCAAATGGTATCTTCCATTTAGAAAGCGCAACCTATTTACTATTTATTAAGGTCTTTGAATTAGAAGTAAACTAGTGAACATTTACTAGCTACAGCTAGAATGCGATTATAAGTATGCAGTAGTCCGTCTAGTTTACAGTACTGAACATATGCGTAACGCCCATTTTGCTTGTGAGCGGGAGACCTCTGACGTTAGCAGCTAGCATTAGTTTATAACCCCGCTTTCACGTTTGTAGTTTTAAGGGCCGTTATTTCACTCGTCTGGTTACAATTTAAATGTTAACCTAACCATCTTAACCGTACCTGCAGTGCTGCGAGGCTGTGCTTGTCCTCTGGGAGTTGGTGACCGTATCAAACTGCTATGAAACGGCAAAGTCTGATACTCGGTTTTACACCTCCACTCCGGACAATGGTACGGCCCGTTCGGGTTAATGCTCCACAAGTCACCAATGCATCGCTGGCAGAAACTGTGGTTACACTTCAGAGTAACCGGGTCCCGGGTCAGCTCGTCGCAGAGAGGGCACCTCGCTGGAGTATCCAACGATGCTCCCATTTTGTTTTGCCCTGTTTAGTTTCTATTTCCGCGATGACATGCAGCAGCAGCAGAGGCGGAGCCAAATATTTGAATCTCGCTTCCCCCCTTTGGCAGTGAGTTAAAGGTACAGTCTGTCGAATGCAGATGCATGCAGATGTGATATCTGCTCTGAAGTTTGATCTTAATGTTTAAAAAAAGGGTCGGGGGGGGGTATATTTTTCATATAAAGTCAAGAACATTGACTGGTTCTTAGCACTTTTTTACGCTACTTAAACACTGAAGCGCTTAATACAACATGCCTCATTCACCAAGTCATCAACCTTCTTAGATGGCCTGCTCTCCATCCGGAGCTACACCACCCCATTTAGTATCTCAGCAGATGAATATGAATACAGCCTTTTTATGCCAAACTCATTCTGTGGGATATCTCTTCCACAGTGTGCTGTCTGTCCCGCATCTCTCCCCTCAGCCCCAACCTTCCCCTCAAAAGCAGACGGCTACACCTTCCAGAGCGTGGTTCCACCAGAGGTTTCTTCCTGGTAAAAGGGAGTTTTTTTTAATTCCCACTGCTGCCAAGTGCTCACTCTTAAGGGTTTATCTGAATTTTGGTGTTTTTTCATTATTGTTGTAGAGTCTTTACCTTGCAACATAAAGTTCTTTAAGGCAACTGGGTCTTTTATGTTGTGCGATATTTTAAAAAACTGAAATGAATTAAGGAGCGCTTTTTATCTTTGTCCAGAATATCTCAGATAGGATGCCTAGGTATAGGACTGTATTGGAGTTTTGTCCCTCATCTCCCTGTTCCACAATTTAAGACCTTTATCATGGTTTAAGTCCATAAGTCCAATTCTCTGCCCAGTGGGTGAACTTGCAAATCACCACAAGGTCATAAGCTGTACTTGAGCAAATATGATGAAAACGACCCCAAAGAAAAACCACTGAGGTGACAATAGATACCCAGATACTGGTTTTAACTGACTTAAGTTAGTGGAAAGAAATTCTCAAAGAGTATTTTGGTTTTTTTGCTAGTTTTTTTTTTTTTTTTTTGGTTTCGCACAAGGGTAGGTATGTCATAAAGAAACACACTATGTGTGAGTTTCATAATATGCTCCAAATTGTTAGAACTGACAAATGTGTTGAAAAGAGATGCAAAAAAAGGGGAAAAAGTTGATTATCAGACAGAACAGCCACTGGAAATAAGTTACCAGAATTCCTAACAGTAAGAGCATAAGAAAAGTAAGACTATATGAAGAGCCCCTGATATCCTTATTTTAGGGTGTTGGAAAAGTTGAATTCAAATGACCTATACATGTCTTTGGCATACTAGTGCAAAAGCTGTACACACATACTTTGTTGTGTGTTTATTTTTCTGATGTATCCCACATTGTCCCACACAAACACACGCTTGCCCTACTTTTAGTTTGTTGGGAAATTGCCGCCCTAGTTCCTGTGCAACTTCCTTCCAGTTTTTCTCTTCGTTTCCTTCATGACTCATCCTGTTGCAGCGAGTTTGACAGAAACTATATTTTACATTAAATGATCTGTGTTTAAAAAAGAAAAGAAAAGAAAAGAAATGTACAGTGACAGAAAAGCTCAACATAACACTTGATCATTCAGTTAAAATAAAAATTACTGCAGTGATTTTATGCCCTCACACACTGAGCTGCGCTGGAATATAATTAAATCTAAATGAAGCTATTCTTCATCTCACCCCCGTATACCCCACAGATTCCCATAAGGCACATAAGCCATACACAGCACAACTCCTTAGTTGAAAATCTGGCAGTACTGAGTGCTTGAAGTCTGAGCTGCCATAAGGGGGTTGTTGGTGTTACTCCTTAAAACACTAGATGGGAACAATAATTCTCTTCTTTCTTTCTCTCTGCGTGGAATTTCTTTTGCTTTTGCGGTCAAAACATGTGACACGGATAAAAACGGACTATTGTGAGTGAGAGGTTAATCTTTCATAATCTCATAGTGGTTGTAGCTCTCAAACATAACTGCATTTTTCATTCGGGTTGCCTACAACATGAAGTGAGACGTGGCCTTTTATGGCAGCTGAATTATTAAGGAAAGTATTTGGGAAAAAACTATTACCCTTTTACATTTATAAATAAATAAATAAACATAAATATAAATAAAGAAATACATACATACATTTATTTTCAAATACTAATGCAACTGCTAAACACTTTATAATTTTCCTTCTTTTAAATCTAAATTTGTTCTTTCAAAGCTTTTATTTTGTAGTAGCAGCTTTATCTCATTCAGTGATAAAGAGTTCAGTGTACTGGCTCCTTAACTTCTATTTGCATTTAGTTTTTTTAGAGTGTAGCTGTTGCAAAGAAAATTTCCAGAAACAAGACCTGACCCAAGTGTACCCCGTGCACTTGCAGATGTGGAAACCATATCACTGATGTAATTCTGTTTCTTTTCAAAAGAAAAATTGTAATTATGAAAAAGAACCCTATTGAAAAATGCAGTGCCTTAAAACTATGATACTGGTTCGATATTAGTTTCTTGTAAGTCCCAATCCTTCAAACAGCAATTCTTTCTGCCACTCTGTGCTCCTGGAAAATGAAGGAGTGATTGCAAACCAAAACAGGAAGATGGTGATTGTTTGTTTTGTTAGCTTACCATAGATTGGTTATATTGTAAAACAACTGGAATAAGTGTGGAAATTCTACCTGCAAAAGAAGAGCAGCTCCAATATGGAGTCAATTAAGAAGTTTAAAGCAAGTGTTACATTTTTAGTGTCACTGAGTTGAACGAGTCCACTTGGGTTTGAGTAAATTTCATCACTAGAGCCTGAAAGTGAAACTCTGCATAGATGTCCATGTACCCATTAATTTTTTGTGACCACACTGACTTTTCTGCAACACTGTACATTACAATGCACCCATTATGCATTCATCCATACCATATCCCTCCAATAGAGCTCTTTGATCCTAGATTACTGGCTGACTTGTACTTCTGAGTTTGTCTAGTAGCAGAATTAAGGCCTGTCTTCTGTTTAACCAGCTCCTAGTTTGGATTCCTACTCTTCCACAAAGTGTCTTCTGTCCTGCATCTCTCCCCTCACCCCCTGCTGGTCACCGCAGATGGCTGTCTCATTGTAAGGTCTTTACCTTAAAATATAAAGTGCCTTGAGGTGACTGCTGTTGTGATCTGGTGCTATATAAATAAAATACAGTTTAATTGAATCCTTCTTCCAAACTCCAAGCAGATTTGAACGAGTAATAATGAGACTTACTAACCATCTAAATGTATACAATGCAACAGAGAAGCCCAAGTCCCAGGAGAAAAGATGCTCAAAAGTGAGCTAGTTTTAGTTTTATTAGTAACTAAATCTGCATAACCTAAATGATACAGTGGGTAAATGACCGGACAGGGGGGAGGGTGCAAGGCTGCTTTAGCCATTTAAACAGCAGAGAATAAACCATAATGTGTATTTTTTATTATTATATATACTGTCACATGTCTCATCCATTTACATGGTTTGCCCTTTAAAACCTTCATAGCTTTGGTTAAAATAATAAATTTTAAAAAGCACAACAGAGATTTACAGTGAAAACCTTTATTAAGTGTTAATATTATTTTTTAAGGAACCTCTTTCAATGCTGTAAGTTAATCATCTTTTCCATATTTGCTAATTGGCATCTACAGAATATCTATTTACACAAGAACACACCCACAGGTGAGGCTGGGACAGGCCTTACTAATTCATTATTACTTGAGTTCAATACTCAGGCACACCAGTCACCCCACGTTATACTCCCACCCCCTTTATGTTACCCTGTATGTCCCAACAAAGCAAAGAGACAAAAGGAGTCAAAGAGGGAGAAACAGAAAGAGACCTGGACTAAGACATAGACCCACAGATTTAGATTAACAACAGGACAACTGTGTGTGAGGCTGGCATATTGGTTCACTAGACCAACAAACTATTGCACACACCACATTCACACCAGCACTCACATACGTGCATGCACTCCCTCAAATACCCACTGACCTCCTTACGGTATGCACTCATACAGAACCACACAGTCATACAGTAGCTAGGAGTCCTGCAGCAGTCCTAATAGCCACCATCACAGTGTAGATACACAAACTATAAAATATTAGATTTCTTCTTAAACTGAAGCGCTGTGCAAAGTTAGCTAGCGGGGCATTAAATGGACTTAGTTAAAATACCTATAACATCTTAAATATTTACTGTACATACTTTGTAATACAAGTTGTGTCTGTTTTAGGTGACAATATTCTTATAAAAGAGTCTTAAATATCCTTTTCTCTAGTAAAGTGAGGGGGAACAAGGGGGGTGGGGGCACATAAGCAAATAAAACTCTCTTTTAAGTGTCAAACCTAAACACAACAGATTTACATAAACCCGATATTATCTGAAAATGAGAAGTTTCTTCTTTTCACAAATAAAACATGATAGGCATTCTGACGGTGACACACACAGCTAAGTGTTAACATACTTTAATACTTGTAATTACAGAATTTTGTTTATGTTTTGTTTGAATGTAAAATCTTGTGTATGAGTTGTAGTCAATGTTCCCTCTAAACTGCGCGTGTGCGCAATTGCGCACTGCTGGCATGGTCTCTGCGCACAGAAAATCTGCTTTTAATCCCGTATGGGATTAGAACGATGCCACCTTATCCCATAGTCCAGCCAATAATGCGATTCACATTTGTATATACGCAGCTAATCAACGTGGTTGACAGGCTATGACAGCGTCCTTATGTGCCAACACCGGTGTTTTAGCTAGCAAAGCGGCGTGGCTGATGTGGAGTGAAGCCACGTTAATGACAACGTGTACAACCATTGGAGATGTGAGCAGGACAGATGGAACAATTGACGGAAAAAGTGTGGACTTTATACCAGTTTTTAAATTGTGTTGATAGGCCACGTAAAACCAGAGTTATGATAAAAATAAATGCAATGTTTGGTTTTCTTCCTGAATACTGTCGTTGTTTATATTTACTGTGGGAAGAAACGGTAAAAACTGTGTTTTATAAGGAAAACGCTCGAAAGCGCTCTCCACCTGTGAGCAAAGACAAAACCAAAAAAACCCTACTCTTTCCTATTGGTGGAAAAATGTACCATGTCAACCAATCAAAAAATGATATGGCAACATGGCATTTAGTTGTTTAGGGAGAGGGAAGTTTTAGGAGTGACGGCGGAATTTTGAGATGTAAGAGATTTGCGACATTTAGCGCAAATCTTGTGTAGTTAGTGTGTAGTGTAGTCAATAGTTTTGTTGTGTGTGTCAGAACAATGAGGCGACTGCTGAATGTTACAGGTGTTACAGGAGTGATACATCTCCTGTTGTCAGGTATCAGGCTGTTGTTCTCCTTTATCTCATAGTGGACAGAAATTATTTTTTGGAGTGGCACAAATAATTTGTGTGGCATCAAATTTGATGCAGAACAGCTGATTGTTCTGTAAATAGTTTAAAATGTTTGTTTAAAAAACCGCCTTGGCTGCATTTTTAGGTAAACAGCTGCAAAAAACTCAGTTACTTTTTTGAAGAAGTAACTATATAATTAATTGCCCAACATTGGTCATTATATACTGTATTTTGCAGACAGAGAGTTACAGGACTCTTTCCCAGACCACAGACTCATACTCATAATACAAGTCAGAGCTTTATAAAAAAAAAAAGAAAGAAAGAAAGAAAAAAAAAGAAAGTTGTGTTTTCAAAATTGGAGTTCAAGTTATTTTTACTTCCAATAGTGTTAACATGCTACACAGGTCATGAACAAGATTTTTTTTTACATTTTCATTGCAAGTGGGCTAAAGCAGTTAATTAAAAGTAGTCTAACATAAATGTAAATGCTGTAATTTGATTATTTTAATAAACCATGTAACTTGGATGGATTCGATGCTGGCGTGACCACAGTGCACACGTCTGATGTTGCTCACAGTGGTCCAAGGGACTGCTCAGGGAGTTTGTGCGTTCGCTCAGACACATGAAAAAATTAGAGGGAACATTGGTTGTAGTGTGTGTGTGTGTGTGTGAGTGTGTGTGTGTTTGTGTTTTGTCTGTGCTCACAATGCAAGTGTACAATGTCAACCCTGTGTCTTTGCAGGTAGGTAGTGGGTAGTCCATACTCTTGTCGACAGATTAACAGTCTCTGCCCCTTGCCATGGTCTATGAAATGTTGTGCAAGGCTCGGACACATTAGGATAGAAGTGCTTTGGGCTCCATCTAAATGCTGGGGATGACGTAAGGACTGTGAGCACAACGGTGAGCACAACATCAAAGGTAGGTTACATTGGGTTTTTTTGGCAGGTAGTTGCAAAAGGCAGGCTGGCTGGTTCAACAGAATTCCTTTCCACCACACACTCGGACCGCCTCCCTCCTTTTTAAGCTGATGTTGATCGACTGGTACTTTATGAAAACAGACACGTGGATCTTTGGGAACCTGCAACAAAGAAAGTGAAAGACAAAGTGTATTTTGCAAGCTATTCCGATTTTTACAATTGTTATTCAAGAGTTATGCTTACACATATGTACACCATGACCTTGTTAAGATGAATAATTCTGGATGGGGGAAAAAGCATTTCATCTATACTTCATTGCCTTGCAGAGCAAATGTGTGCAAAATATGTTTAATCAGCAGTGTTGCTCATTTGTCTTTGTTCTGTTTTGCATGGCTGCATGTAGAGTATTGTGAATATAATCACTGAGCTGTTTTTTTGCTTGTAATTGTTACTCTGCATGCTTTGTGAACTGTTGCTTGCATGCTTTTTTAAAATCCTTTTAGTAAGGTATTACTCATTTTTGAATTGCTTAAACACTGTACATCGGTAGGACTTTATAGAATTTTATAAATGCAAACCACTGACGTGCTGCAGCTACACTGATTCACTGATTTTTTTTTATTGCAGTGGTTGTATTTATGCATAAAGCATGGTTCATTTGACACGTGCTGACACATTAGAGCCATTTATGTCAGTTAATTTCTCAGTTCGCTGTCCATGTTTTTGCTACATATTGCCTGCACGTGCATCTTTGTCTTAAGACATTACAGTGGTTTTTTGAGTACATTTGTACGGTACTGGGGTTCTTTTTGTCACAACATGATTTGAATGTGGACCCAAATGCATATATGTGTCCTGCACTATAAACCCTGAGGTTCCCTAATTATGCTGTGATGCTAAACTTCTTTGGACGAGGTTACGTTCAAGATTAGACATCAATGGATATGAACTCACCACCTTGTGACCAGTAGGTCCTCTAGAAAATACCATCACCATTCCTGGAAAGTCCCTTGGACATTTGTATCTAGTGTCTTTTTGCTTTCGTGATGATTATCAGCAATAAAATATAGATTTTTGAATCCAACTTTATTTCTTGATTTTTAAAAAAAATTTTTTTGGCTCCAAACAAATTTACAACAATTTTACTCTTTGATAAACAATATGATCTTCTAACCGGCCACCTATTTGTGATCACTGACCTTACATTAAATTTGTAGACTAAGCTTGTAACAATTGTATTCTGATTTTTATAAACCTTGTACAAAAAATTAGGATGTTTTTGTTTGATCAATGATTTCTAGGTTGTAACGATCCTTCATGGTGGAAAATTTTCTATCATTGGAAAGTCTGTTTATTTCCCCTTAAATGGTGCCACATTTGTATGGAAATACATTTGTGGGTTGAGCATCTGAAGGGAGCCATGGTACTATGTCCAAATTAAAGGAAAAGTTCCATATAATGAGTGATGTCAGAGACGGGCCGCAAAGTGGGCATTCTAAGAAGACCATTTCCTCACCCTGTTAGTACTTAGGAACTGTAGGCAGTCTTCTACAGTTCCTTCTACAGATTTGCAGTCAAGTTTCGCACAAAGCCAATCTCTGGTCTCGTAGGACTGCCAGGAGACCTGTCATAACTGCCCTTCATTGTTGTGCCCATTTATGCTGGTGTCAGCAACATGTGCACTGGAACATGTTAGGAATGTTATGTTCAGCGATAATGGATTATAATAATGGATTGGATTTATATAGCGCTTTTCAAGGCACCCAAAGCGCTTTACAATGCCACTATTCATTCACTCTCACATTCACACACTGGTGGAGGCAAGCTACAGTTGTAGCCACAGCTGCCTGGGGCAGTCTGACAGAAGTGAGACCGCCATATCGTGCCATCAGCCCCTCTGGCCAACACCAGTAGGCAGTAGGGTAAGGTGTCTTTCCCAAGGACACAAGGACCAGGACAGAGAGCCCAGGGATCAAACCGGCGACCTTCCGGTTACAGATGCGCTTCCCAACCCCCTGAGCCACGGGAGCGATGAGTCCAGAACAAGTCTTGTCATCATTGGAGGCAATCTCTCTCCAGAGAGATATCGAGATGAGATTTTGCAGCCAGCAGCAATCCCATATCTCCACAGTCTGGGACCTCCAAGATGACAAGTGTCCCCCAGGGATCAGGGTTTAACAGTGACTACCTCCAGAATTGGGAGTGGAGACGATGGAATGGCCTGCCCACAGTCCTGACCTCAACCCCACTGAATAATTGTGGGATCAGCTTAGTTGTGCAGTTCATGGCAGAGGGACCAACAAAGCCACACTGGCTGACTTAAAAACAAATGTTGGTTGAAGGATGGGATGCCATCTTAGCATGAGGAGGAGGTGCCAGGCTGTTGTGGCTGTGTACAGTTCTTCCACATGCTACTGAGGCAGCTGTGTGGTAATTGAATAAAATTGTTAGGTTACCAATGTCTCTTGTTTCCTCAGACTTAAATCGCCCTAACCCTAACCATATGTCACACCATTTAAGGGGGAATAAATAGACTTCCAATGGTAGTTTTATTGCCAAGAAGCATTGTTATATCAGCGATTTGTCAGCAGCAGCTGTGTTGTGAACTATTTTATGTGTTTAACCTCTTTATATATTACAGTTTTATCTTCTTGTGTGACATTTTTGGTTGATTAGATCAGGGGTGTCAAACTCCAGGCCTCGAGGGCCGGTGTCCTGCAGGTTTTAGATCTCACCCTGGGTCAACACACCTGAATCAAATGATTAGTTCATTACCAGGCCTCTGGAGAACTTCAAGACATGTTAAGGAGGTAATTTAGCGATTTAAATCAGCTGTGTTGGATCAAGGACACATCTAAAACCTGCAGGACACCGGCCCTCGAAGCCTGGAGTCCGACACCCCTGGATTAGATGTTGCCAGTGTCACCTCTTTCATGTGAATGTGCAGGAGAAACTGTCAGTTAACTGGGTTAACGTTATCAGGGTGATAGCCAGCTTGAAAACAGAACAATGAGCACTTATCCTGATTGCCACTGTTAGACTAAGTGAATCCAGATAACAGAAAGATATCCTGGGTATGCTGAACTCACTTTGTGCTAGAGGACCCAGGACACAGCATAAGAAACAAAAAGCAAGCTGTACTGCAACTCTCCTGAGAGTTCATGAGAAAGCACCACCAGGTAAATAAACAAAAAAATATCTTCAAACCTAACTGAATACAAACAAACCCACAAGCGACACAGAAGGAATAAACAACACACAATCCAACAAAGGCCACAGAGAAGACAGGAATAGTTAAACACAAACATCTGATTACTGATGGGAAACAGTAGGAAGGAAAATGCACTTAACAACAGGTAAAAATAACCAGGGAATCAAGGGAGGCAGTCAGGGAACAAAACTGATGCAGGAAATGAAAGAAAGCAAACCTTCAAAGTAAAATGGGAAACAACCAGCGGAGATGAATACCAACCTGAATACAAACACTTTACAACAAGTACAGGGACAGGAAAACACAAAGGGACTGATGCATGAACACCGAACGGGACACGCGGGATCAGATAAGGACACATTGAGGCAACCAAAACACAGAAAATAAAGCAACCTCAAATAGGAACCTACTGATGCTTCTAGCCAAGAAACATTTATAACCCAAGATCTTTCCATTGATTTGAAATATTGTGTTACTGTACTTTAAATTAATGATCCATTAAGGAGTGAAGTGTAAATTACTTTTTTCATTTACACTGGATTTACACCTCTATGGTGCCTAAGAACACAGGTAATATTTCAAACATTAAAGCACAATCAGTTCATTTAGGAGGCTTGTGTAATATAACAGTTAAAGATGTTTGTTTGTGCTTACTCACCTATTGATTTGATTAGGCATTCCCTCCATCTAAAAAACAAACAAAAAAAACCAGAGAAAAATATAAAACACTTCAAAAAAATATATGAAAGCACGTCCAACCAATGCCACGCATATGATTTGATGCATTGCACACAGACACCAGTAGATGGCACCAGGGATGAGAGAACTGGTTAAAGATTTTTGAGCTATAATGAAAAGATTCTCCCACGCCCTGAAGTAAGAGAGAAGTAAGTGGTGCATTATCATCATCAGAGTATTATTGATGTGGTAAAGCTATGGATAATGCCAAGTTTTCATTTCTATGATTTTGTCTATAAATCTTTTATAATTTTTTACCTTTAACTGTAACCCGAAGGTCACCAGAGTTTAGGACAAGATAAAATAAATTGCAGATCTGAATTATTTATTATGATTGCTGTTTTTATTATTACCAGCTGCATTCACAGGCCATCAAACATAGCACCCGATGACGTTACACACGCCAGTTTTTCCAAATCCCTTCTGCTGATTAACAAGTCTTTTCTTTTACTAGTTCGTGTCCATCCTTCCTCCTCACCTCTCTTTAACAGTTTGCCCATGCCTGTCTGGTTCCATTACAGACTACAGGGTATGGACATGCAAATCGCATTTCCCACTGGGAGACATTCCTTTACCCAGGCCTTTCCACAGTACCTCACTGTGTCGAGCCGTGAATTACATACAGTATGCATGCATGCTTACCAGTACAAGACAGGCCTTTTCTACATGTTTCGTAAGAAAGTGAGGTTATATTTTGATAAGAAGTTTGCCAGATACTCACACAGTCACAAAACCGTTGGAAACGCAGCAGAAATGTGACTTGCAAGTTTGACTAATTTGGAAACATATCTGACTGTATCCTCACACATGTTCAGAAGCTCAAAGCTCCTGTTATAATATCCCCAAAACAATAATAGAGATCAGTTTAAAATAATTAATTTACTTTGACAAATAGGTGCAAAACAAACTAGCAAAAGAGATTACAATGACATCCTCTTGCAGAAGAGACAGTGTTCATAACTGTAATCAAAAGAGAACAGGAATCATTTTTTTAGCTGCCTAACTCACAGGGATGTGGTGGGAAAAAAGCTTATTAGGGGGTTAAAACGGGTGCTCATTAATGGTTGTAATTATCCGAAAGAAGGCTTATGCCAGTCCCTTCGTTATATTCAAAGTGTGCATCTGAAGCTTTCTAAATTTAGCTTTGCTTTTAAAAAGGCTGCATCAAAAGCTCATTACTTCCAAACTTTCACTGGGCGTGAACGCAAGAGTGCACTGACTGTAATCCTTTCATGGATTTAGTTCATCTCATCTCTTTTCAAGCCTTGTTTATATTTTGTCACCTTGTTAATGAATGTGCATTTTCTATTTTCAGTCTGGTGAAAGTCACTTGGGCTGTGATGAATCGCGAGCCGACTCTTGAAGTAAGCTTTAAAACGTTCTTGCTCTGTGTGTGTGTGCATTTGGCAGTCCCCACCAACACAAACTGCATTAAGATGCACTTTCAGAGCAATTTATATGGCACCACTCTGCCAAAAAAAAACAACAACGAGAAAGAAAAACTGATTACTTCTCAATTAATGATAAAAATGTTAAAATATTTGGAAATTTAGTGGGATCAGTGTCTAGTTCTAGAAATATTTACTGTAAGTTTAAATACATTTTTCGGAAAGGAAAAATGAGCTTCAGCTATTTGGTGCGTCATGGATGAGGAAACTTCTCCAACTATGATGGGTTTAATAACTTTTTTCACATCAGCTTTTATGAGTAAGATGTTGCTTTAAGTTTTCAAAGGAAGTCAGTCATGTCTTATTCTCACCCTTGCTTTCAGCCAGCAGCTCCTCTGTCATGAGGCCGTCCTGCCGGTTCCCCAGGACGAAAGCCAAGAAGGAGAGGATGAGGGCGTCCAGGATGCCCATGATAGCCAAGATATAAGCCCAGCGAACGGAGCACGCGCCCAGGCTGTACTTGTCAGTCTGCTCTCCGCACATCCGCCGGACCTCGTCACTGTCCCATCCATCAGGATAGATCATACAACCCAGCACCAGACAGACACCTAGTCAGAGGCAGAGATGGGCAACGTGAATCAAACGAAGAAAAGTAAGGACAAGCCAAGAATACATATGAGCATAAAAGGGGAGAATATAAGGGTGGAAATAATGGTGTTTAATAGCAGTGACAGATTTAAAGTGTTTTGACTACTCAAAACATTATGGATTTCCCAGCATCCTCAACCTTTTACATTGGTGATAATATTAGATTTATTGCTCATAATTCTCTGTTTTGGCCCAAAGTGTTTAACTTAATTTAACCTAACAGATTCTTCTCTAAGGTAATGCTGCATCAGAAAAGCCCAAGAAAATGAGGAGCCCGTCTAATTCTTTCTCAGTTATTGCCCGAAGGGTAAAATTTCTCTCATCTTCACTTTGGATGAGGTCCTCCTCTGAGGTGGTGCTGCAGCAGAGCAGCAGTAGACCTGGAAAAAAAAAAAGCTGACTGCACAATTATCCACAGCGCATTGCACATTAATAATAAAACAGACTCCCCACTTCTTTATTCCCTGAACACCTAGTTGCTTTCAATGTTTTGCCCCCGAATGCTGTTTGTTTGTGTATTAGGTTTGGGGGTTTTGAGCGTTTTTCTAGTTTATTACCCATGAACTTTAAAATTTCAAACACTTACCTGCAATCTGTGTGTGCCACTGTTAGGTTTAGTATGGCATTACAAAAGACCAGGGTGATCTTTTCTTTGTTACACTACAGGTAAATCAGGGGCGGGGGGGGGGTTGTTAGCATTACAATTTGTTTGATTCACAACACGAAGAGTTGTGTTCAGCAGCAAATATCTCCGAGAGGTAGTTTGATGCTGATGGCGTAAAAGAAAAGAACTACAGCTGCCTCTGAGTTTCAATGGCTTGAATTTAAGACTCTTAGACTCACATTTTCTTGGTCGATTGATTCCTGTGGCCATTTTGGAAAATTATTATCTCAATATTTTCCCCCTTAAAAAGAAAACACAAACAAATATATACCTAAATCTAGGGTATATGACAGTTTGCTCTTAAATGTTCACACTTTGATTGGTTTGTTGTTTAACTGACTGATGTTGCCTTGGCGCAGAAAAGATAATAGTTTGTAATAATAGTTTGGTTGTGATTAGTATAAAAGACTTAAGTAGCTACTGTGAAAGAGATGAGCATTTCTTACTTGGTTGTGAAACACCAGATGTGAAACGGAATGGCAGGTCTGACTGGTAAACTGGACACTGATTGGCGATTTACATTCTAACCATTAGCCAATGAGCGTGCAGTTTTGTACCACAGATCCACAAATCCTCCAATTTGAAATATTTATTTCCTAACTAACTTCATTAATTAACGTTATTTCTTTTAAACCAAAGCTACATCTATGTTTTTGTAACATTTGTGCTTATGTCAGATCTGTTTCCTGTATGCACAGCCTGTGCATAGCAGCTAACAGTCACTCGCATAGCCACACACTAACATGTCGTTAGCAAGGAAGGTTTTCACTGTAAGCGAAGACACACCAGTTCACCAAAGTGCACTAAACCTAATCAAACACCTAATGAAAGCACCCTTAACCAGCCAAGTTTAGCATTTTAAAGAAGCTAACTTAGGGAAAGTGGCTAAAGCTAAATAATTCAGTCAGTCAGAAGCTAGCAGCCTTGTTATGAGCAAAGGATCAAAAAAGTTAGAAGGAAAATTATGGAGAGGTATAAAGCAGAAAATAAAGGTGGGTGTCTGTTATCTGATGGGGTTATAAACATACTGGAGAATAATGCAAGCAGGTCACATCTGTTTTGTTGCATAAATCTGTTGCACCTGCTTTTGTTTAGTAAGGTAAGATATGCTAGGTGCAGCGAGTGTACAGCAGCTTATTTTCCATTAATTATTTGTACCGCTTTCTGACTGCAGAGCACTTTATTTTCAATTGTATTTAAGTGAAAACAGATCATGTAAACTAGTGTAGTTTTGAGGGAAATTGTTAATCATTTATGTTACTATGAACCTTGTTTATTTAATTTTACTTATTTTATATTGAAGAAAAGTGGATTTTTGTTTGTGTACACAGTCAGCTATAGTTTTTTAGAAAGAAAATCAGTGAACTCTTACCAACTGTGCCTCTCCTAGCAGCATCAATACTTTGCATCTTAGGGGGGTAGGGGGGGTGTTGTGTACGTCATTCATCGAACAGAGGGAGTACCAGAGAGAAGGCCATTTTCGATATTCACCCAGTCAACACACATTACTATTCTTTGTCTCCTTTTTGATGTATTTGCTACAAAGTTAGCAAACACTTTTCTCGATCTTTCTGGCTGTCACCTGTGTCGCTTTGGCTCAGTTCAACAGGATCATGAATATTAGATTGAACCACAGGAGGATCCCTCTTGATAGTTTTGTTGTCAGTAAGATGGAATAGGAGACAAATACTGAACGTGTGATGGGAAGAAGGACAAAAGATAACACTCGCAGTAAAATATGTCTCAGTCACTACTGAACTCTATTTACTATAAAGTCTGCCTCTGCTGATAATCATCTCAGAGGGATGCACTGGACAGGATTATACCAACAGAGGGTGCCACATATGTCACTCTTGTTTCCAGAAACAGCTTGTGGTTAGAGGAGGAGCACATGTTCCCTTCATGCACTGTAACAGAATGCCTGCTATGAACTAATCCATAATCACACAACACTACAGAGAAGCCCCATCCAGCACAGCACTGCTTACATAATGAGACCTTTTCTGTGAATTTGGATTCCCATAAAGGTTACCATCAAGCAGTCTACACCCATATCATAACACCAAAATAAGCAAGAGCGTTGACTTCTTTCAGTTAAGAGGCCTTTAATAATAATAAAAAAAAGATTATATGATTTACGAATGCTCTACAAGACATGTGGGAATTCTGTTAGTGGATCAATTATTAATCAGAAGTAATATGTAAATAGTACATGTAATGGTGCTTTAGCTGTAATTATGGGCTCTAGAGTGACAGTGGATTCATTAACATTAAAATTATGACATGGTTAAACTTTTTATCTACACTGACAGGCCAAATTCCACCAAACAACTTGCCAAACGTGACAACATGTCAGTACATTAAGTGATATAAATTCTAGTTGCTTAAAATAATCAGGACTGAGTAGCTCATTGGTTTTTCTTTTTTACCCCCGTGCTTAGAAAAACTGTTGGTTAGCACTTGTGTCTTACAGCAATATGGTCCTCGGTTCGAATCCACCATTTCACATAAGATCAGGTTAACTGGCGATTGCAAATTTGAATACGGTGCCCTGCCACTCGCCCTATGCCAGTTGGGATGGGGTTCAACCCTCCAGTAACCCTGAACTGGCGAAAGAGAATGAAAGGACAGACAAAAAATGTTGGAGCAATGGAAGGTTTTGGCTTTCCCCAAAGGGACATCACCAGGATTGTTTTTTCCATATACATTTTCCATATGCAAGTTACGCCCCCAACTCTCAAAAAGAAAAAAAAGGTTGTATATAAACCACATGAAATAAATGAAAATCACAGAGTAAACAGATTTATATACTTTCTTGCAGTACCATGCTGTAAATGGCTGCTTATGTAGACTGGTTACCTGGTTAAAGGTTAATTTGAAA